ATTCTGGGAATCTGACTCCAGTTCCTAACACAGCTGTTCATTGATCAGTTCTATACTGTGCTGCTGCAGTACCAACTGTAGTGTATATGTCCATGTACTGCTATAAATATTGAAAGGGTTTAAAACAAGAAATATGTATATTTCCAAGATTGGTGTTAAATTGGAAATGTAGGGACAGATTTCTAATACAGTTTAGCAATCCTTCATTGTTTTTAATAGGAGCTTCTGGCATGAAGATTGGTCTGAAGAACATTCCAAAATTCACAAGAAGTTGTTTAACTATAAATGACACTATACCAATGATGAAACAAACAATATATCTGAAACAGAACATGAAGAAATAAGCAGAACTTACAGCTTTATGTCTCTACTAACTCCTCACTATGAAATCTGTTTAGTGTGCTAAATGTGCTTCTAAGCATGTAAACTGTCCTCAAATCTGATTTTTCCATGAAATTTTGGGAAAAGAGGTAAAGGTGTAAGTATTTGGGTAGCAATAAGTTCTGTTCCACACTTACACATCTGTACAAAAAGTATAGTGAACATGCCCGTGGATCTTTTTAATTTATTTGAAAAAGGGAGCTTGTAAACCAGTCACCCCCATATAAGACTATTTTGTTTGTCTGGTTCTCCAGACTCCATTTTGAAATGACTCCCAAAAGGCATAGTCCAGGTGTTCCCAGGAGAGAAGTTCTTCAATTCTTTTAATCCCTGTAAATACTACAGATGAATAATTCTACTCATGTCCTTGGTTGTAAAGCCTCTTCCAATCTCCCTGATAAACACTTGTGACTTGCAGACAGTCAGAAACCTGAGGCTGAATTGATTCAGTCTTTGCAGGTTAGTCAAAGCTGCAAAGATTGAACCAATAAGCAAATGAACAGACATTCACTTGTGATTCAGGAAATGCAGCCACATGCCTGTATTGGCTCAATCCAGAAGCTGGGGAGTGCTACAGCATGGCTCTCAGGCACATAGCCAGCATGGGCTATGTGTTCACTTCCTTTTCCTGCTGCCCCCAAGGTCTCTGGTACTTGCAGTTCACAATCATAGCAGCAGGATTCTGCAGGGTTGCTCATCACTTCCTCTTCCTGCTTCCAGTTGCCTCTGGGATTTGTAGTCCACAATCACAGCCAGCACTAAGTAAGCCAGCAGGGTAGGGCAGCACTGTTCATAGGGAAAGGTGAATTTAAGCCCTCTCTCTGGCCCCAGACCCCAGCTGGTGTTCTCCTGGGGTGGGGGTAGGGGGTGAGTTAGCCAGTGAGCCAGCCCTCACTGCTCCCGGTAGGGAGCAGAGGAGCAGGGCCAGCTCTGCTCCCTGGAGCAGACAGCATTCTGCGGGACTCTGATTTAACTTGAACCAAGAAGTCTGATATCACATTCAACCAGGTTTATTTTAAACCAGTTTCAGTCATTTTGAAACTGGTTTATGTGCACTGAACTTCTATTCTGTTACACGTTTAAACCAGTTTCTGATCACTTAAACTGGTTTATGAGTAACTTCTGTCCCTAACCACAGAGTTAATTGAAAGGCTTTCTGTGTAATTAAATCTTCCTCTGTCATTATCAATAGAATCAAACCAATATTTTAAAATATTTTTATCTGGAAACACCTTTCATATCTAGGTGATGCTAACAAGAATTTATCCAATTACCGTTCTTGCCCCTGGGTCCTAAACTGTTCACGTAAATTGGAAGACCAGCTTTGGGGAACTACTTGTTGAAGTGTACAAAATGATGCAATACATCATGTAGCAGTAGTGAGGGTATAGTATGCTATTTTCCCACCTAAATAAAAAAATCTAAACAATTATACAAGGCTGTCTGAAAAGTTTGTTATGGGGTGCACCGATAGAGATTTTGGAGGCCGATACCGAGAGCCAATTTTTACTGCCCAGCCCAACCTGCCCCGCACAGATCCAGGGGCACATGCCCTTTCCTGTGCCCTCCTGGGTGAGTGGCAGGAGCAGCAGTGGGAGCCACCAGATGAAAAGATGAGCTGCTGAACGAGCCGCTCCTGGATCAGTGCTGTGTAGCAGTGGGAGTTGCTGCCCTCCACCCTGCACCCTTCAGATGAGCTGCAGCTCTGTCCTATGCCTACCCCACCTCAGCTGGGCAGTGCCTACCCCAGCCCCAGCACCACTCTTCCCTCACTGTGGTGGATGTTGATCTGGCACCCTACGCCCCTCCCCCCGCTTCCACCACAACAGACTTACCAGCTGCATGCAGCTCTCCATGCTGCCAGGCTCTGCTCCTTGCTGCCTGCATGCTGCACTGTGGCTGCATGCAGGCATGAGCATTTATCGGCCAAATAATTGGCCAGATGAGGCCGATTTCTGATATAGTCAATTTTCTTTATATCAGTGCTGATCCAATAATGGACTGATGTATTGGTGCACCTCTAGTTTGTTACTATGTAACCAGACCAAAACCCCATTTCAGGCTAATTTAACAGGTTGAATGGGTTCTTTTTGTAGCTATTTATTTACATTAATTCTCATATTCCTTCAAGATTACATTGAACTAGTAGGTGGGCAAGAAGATGGATTCCCTTTCTGAAGTTTTAGATTTTAAGTCCATTAATACATAACTTTTATGTTTTATTCTTTGGTAAAGTGGAAAATTAACATTTTAAGATAAGATAATCTATGTATAAGAATGGGTTGACATATGTAATAACTTCTCTCACTTTTGGCCAAAGTCTGCCTTCACACAAGTAATGGGGGAATTGTGTGCAAGCATACCAAGCTCAGAACATGTAGGCTGAATTTCCTACTTTTTATGTGGCTCACCGCTCACTTTCTAAACAATGTAAGACAACTAAGTTTTAGTAAAACCTTTTAAAATTAATGCCAAATTAGTTGTATTCTTCAAAGTCTATCTGAATTACTATTCCCAAATGAATACAGCAGAACAAGCAAAAGAATCAGAGATGCATTTCCATTTACAATAGCATTTCCATATTTCAGTAATTCATACATTACAGTTCTCAGATTTAACCATATGCCTACTTACTACCTTAATGGATTTCTTAATTCAGTATAAAAATGCCAACTTCCCTACATTATTAAATAAAGTGAATTCATATACTCTTGTGAAATACAGGCATACAATCTTCATATAATGTTCCAGAATGTATACTTCTATTTTTAATGAATACCTGAGGAAGAGGCTGAATTTTGATCTAAAGGTATTTGTAGCAGGGCTGGTGCTGAGCAATGGTGTAGTGCTCCCTTGTAATTGTGTGACTTGTGCCTCTTCCGGCCTCTTGGGCCTTGCCCTCCAGCTTTCTTCCCACACCTTGATATTGTTGGGTTTTTTGTTTTTTGTTTTTTAAAAAAAAGGTTGGGAGGCTACCCTAGGCCCAAAGGTAATCCAATCCATGGCTGAGTTACTTTCTGTCCAATCTGTTAGGGCCCTACTTGCCTCTATTGCTGCTTCTGGGCAGTGGGTGCCTTACAGACTGTGTTTGTGGCCTCTGACCACCCCTGTAACCACATCCATGCCTTGCAGATATTACAGGTTATCATCTTAACAGAGCACTTTCACGCAACCCAATACCTCAAAGCCCTTGTGGGAGCTTCAGCTGAGTCCCTTGCTCAAGGCCCACTTGTCTGGGGACCTTGGGTTCTGGGTACCAGTCCTGGCTTCCTTTCTGAGCCCTGGCCCCTCTCTCACTCTTGCCCTTCATGGGCTCTTTCTTTTTTTCTTACTCTTGCTCATCTAAAGCTCCCATCTCTCTTGCCTACTCTCCCTGGGGTTCCGTCTCCAGCTCTCACTCTTTTGGGGCTCCAGCTCTGGCCCTCCCAGCCTCAAGCCATTTCTATATTGTGCTGCCTGGCTCAGGGTCTGGGCCTTCTAAGCTTCAACCAGCCTGTCTTCTGCCCAGCCCTGGCAGGGGCCAAAACCTCCTGTGCTCCTGTGCCTTGGGCCCTTCTGAAACTTGCATCCCCTGCCCCCTGGCAGGGCTCAAACTTTGTGTGCCCCTCAAGGCACCCTAATGGGTACCTTGCAGCCACCCCGCATAGTCACTCTGTGTCCACCATTTAAATTTAGAACTTAAATGCAACCTAGTCCTGGCTAAACAAGCATTTGGAATGAAAAAAAACAAGCTATGGCTTTAAACAAAACCTTATCTCACCCTGGTAAACACCAGAGCCTTCCTCCTGCTGAGTTCTCACCACCCTGCTCAAGGTGTCCCAGCTCCTGCAAGGCTTCTCGAGTGGCCGCTTTCCTGTCATGGCAGCCCTGTCTCCTAGGCATTCCCCTCTTCTATTCCTGGGGTGCCATCTTATTTGAGTCAGGAGAGTAAGAGGCTCACACAAGTGTATGCCCTTAGGGCTAATGAGCCACTTGATCTTCCATGCTGCTGCTTAGGTCTATGGTCCCACAGCCCTTATCTCAGTTGCTTGTTTACTTACACAGCAGACTAGTCAGATGTATTTCTCCCTTTTTAGTAACTGGAACTCCCTGTCAGGGTCCCTGTTACAATATTGTGTAAGTAATGTTAGAACTTTGTCAATAAAAGTATTATTAAGATACAGAAAAACAGTTCTGATAACAGGCTTAAAATTATTTTGGATTACCTTTGGGCCTAGGGTAGCCTCCCAACCTTTTTTTTTAAAAAAATTATAAATATTTTTTGCATATTTTATCTCTTTTTTTTTTCCTGTATGCTTAGGGTATAGGGATAGTGGTAACCTTGGGACACAGGGCAGCAGAGAAATGTGAAAGCATGACTAAGTGTTGGAGAAAAAGTTGGTTGGGTGCACATTTCCTTCTTCTCCTCCCTTTCCTTCACTGAAAGTTTGTTCATTTGCTGTTACTCTGAACTGGGAATGCAAACTGAAGTTGCATGCTGGAGTACAGTGTTGCCAAGTCCACTTATAATCAGTGGAATTGGGCTTGTTTTTTCTAAAAGTCACTTTAATTTTTTTGAGAGTTGTGGGTTAATAAGTATCCCCACTCCCCTTTCTTTGAAATGGGTTGGGCTTGTTTTTAAAGGCAGTGCCACTTTTATTTTTGTAAGACTTGGCAACACTGCTGGAATAGGAGTTAGCCATTTATAGAAGGGGTGGGGCATGTCTAAGGAAACCCAGCCTGCACTGAACTGCCCTGTGGAAATGCAGAGAGTTCCCAGTGGGTGCACAGTTTAAAGAAACCTCAGGCTTCTTTCAGCTACCACATTCTTCAGGCCCCTCAGAGTCTCTATGGAACTAGCAGACCCCTGGAGGGCTGCTCCATCTGTCTGGTCACAATCCTGATGGACAGCTATGAAGATGGCATAGACATGCCAGTCCTGGAAAAGATGCCTAATGAATGCAATGTAGTTCCCAGGAGCCTAAATGCATGCACCTGTGGCCCAGAGTTGTGAACCAGCTATAAATTAACACAGCCATCTGCAGCCATCAGCAGGGAGAAGGGTTTCCCATGCTAGGCATCTCAGTCTGTTTCAGTAGTCATGATAGTATTCAAACTCTTCTTAGTCACCACTGAGTCATTGATCTCTTCTCTCTGTGACTCCTTAAGGATCCATTTGCTCAGTATTTTTAGTCCTCTTGGTGCCCTGTACACTCATTGTGCATGCAAAAACATTCTGATTTTTTTAAATGTTGGTTTTAAACTAAAACTATTTTTTCATGTTGAAATGTCCTTCCATGTTGTTATATAAATATAATAATGCCTGAAATCAAAGGCAACAATG